CTGTCTGTGCACCCGTGCTCAAACACACGGTGCCGTGCTCAGATGCACACACAGGTCAGGTCAGCTGGGCCCTGGGGCCGTGCCCGCTTCTGAAAACTCTGATCCGGCACCAAAGAGGGGTGAATTGCAGCTTTCTCCTTGAATAACTCTTGAACCAGATGCTGCAGCAGGTTGCAGCTGGAGATATTGGATCTTTGGGATGTCAAAAAGATGTGGTGCAAGTTTGGAGATGAAATTCCAAGCGGAAAAAATGTTCCAATGTTGGTGTTTTTAGCGTGAGGTCGTTTGTGGCGCTGCGAAAGGTATGATTGTTATGAGGTGCTCAAAAATCTTCTTCTCTGCGCTATATGAGGCCTCGGGAGGAGGAAACGAGCTTCCCTGATAGGTAGGGTGGCCGAAGATCCGTAGATGGCCTGAAAGAAGCGAATATGGCAGATACCCTGAGGCGAGTGGTGCGAATTTTTCTTAAAAAGAGCACGCGTGGCGTGGAGACTGACTTCGGCACAGGATGGCATGATGCCAGGAAAGACATAAGCGGCATCAATGTGGTTGCCCACACCCAGATGGGGCAGCGTGTCCAGACCGGTTGTTATTCATTTTAAGGCCGGCGATTCTTGGACCCTGAGGATATTTGTTTCTGGGGGGAACGGGAGGGGTTTTGGGGAGGAAGAGGGGGGGGCGCAAGGCGTGTGCACCAAGTGGTGGTGGTGGCGCTTTTCAAGCAGACGCAAGATTCAAAAAGATGTTGATGTAGTTGGGATACTGGTGTGGTTGGACATGAATGCGAATCGCTCTAAACCTCAGAGCTGTGCTAAAGCCGTCGCTGAGAATGTCGCCTTCACTATCGAGCTATCCAAACAAACAATCACGCCCCCTTCCCAGCCCATCCCATATAGTCCATGAAATTCGTCACTAGCCCTGTATTCTATCCGCCGCGTCCTCCAACAAGGCTGTCAGTGGCGACTTGCCACCCTTCTCCTGCGTACTTCCGTAAAGTGATCGTTGACGACATTGTTCAAAGTGGGCTTTGGGTCGCAACTGACCTCCATGCAATCTTTGTGCGGTTTCCCGTCATCGAAGTGTTCCTACCCAGCGCCATGCAAAATCAAAGATGACGCTCAATCGCTATACAAGCCTCTTCTACGGCGCTCTGATTACGCCTAGGAGGATTATAGGACGGGATCTCGGAGGAGTTTAGGTGTGTGCCAAGCGGTGAAAAGGAGTTCACGTGATGGCATGGCAGTGACGTAGGAGCACCAGACCCTGCCCCTCATCAATGCTGAGAGGCAAGACCATGTGCATCGCCACCATAAAGAGATGAATGAACTGTCGCCAGCTTATATCAATCCTATCAAATCTCCCCCTCATTTGCGTTCCCATACGCCCTCGTATTTTGCAATTGACACATGACATGCTCTTTAGTGGCCGATCCAAAATGCTATCGACCCTTATCGCTAGTAATTGCAAGCAGCTCCCGGAAATCGAAAGTAAATCTTTCGGCCCTTTCTTCGATACATTTGCAAACTCCAGGGTCGTTCTTATCGGAGTAGGTAAAGCGCTGCAGAACAGTGTAACGTCTCCTAACCCTGGATAGGATGCAAGGTATGGAAAATCAAGACTGGTCGATGCCCAGCTGCATGTCTTACGTGTTGCAGCCACGGTACTTCAGAGTTCTACCGGGCGCGCGCCGCCATAACGCAGCACCTGATTTCCGAACATGGCTTCAACACAGTTGCGATCGAGGGTGACTGGCCGGATTGCCATGAGATTGACAAACACGTCAGAGCCCATCCTAGCCATGCCGGCAAGACCCCGATGCCCGTTTTCAAGCATTTTCCAGAATGGATGTGGAGGAACCGTGAGATGCAGAACTTTGTTGACTGGCTCCGTATCCACAACAGTTCACTGCCTTATGAAAAGAGGGCAGGTATCTATGGGCTCGACCTGTACAGCATGGGGTCCTCGATCCAAGCTGTTATCCAGTATCTTCTAAAAGTGGATCCGGAATTGGCCAGAGATGCTCGAAAAAGGTATGGATGCCTTGACCCGTGGATCGCCGACCCTGCGCAGTATGGGCGTGTTGCCATGCTCAAGGGGTACGCTCCTTGCGAGTCCGGGGTGGTAAAGATGTTGCAAGACGTCCTTGCCAGTCGTATCGATTTGTCGTCCCATGAGGATAAGACTGCCGAGGGCTTTTTCGACGCCGAAATGAATGCTCGTTTGGTCCGCGACTCCGAGCGCTACTATCGCTCCATGTACTGGGGCGATGCCGAATCGTGGAACTTGCGCGATCAGCACATGTTCGAGACACTCCGGCGACTTCTCAAAGTGAAGGGCGGAAAAGCCATCGTGTGGGCACATAATTCGCATTTGGGAGATGCGCGCGCTACGGGTATGCGAGATCGACGTGAGTGGAATCTCGGCCAATTGTGTCGCGAGAACTTCAATTCCATGCCTGGAGAGGTCGCCATTATCGGGATGGGGACACACTCTGGCACGGTAGCTGCAGCTGACAATTGGGACGATGATATGCGAATCATGTCAGTCAATCCGTCTCGTAAGGACAGCTGGGAGCGCGTCATGCACGATACCGGCATTTCGTCGTTCCTCCTCGACCTCCGACCAGGCTACCAGGATGAGGAAGTCAGGAAGGCATTGGAAGAGGAGAAGCTGGAGAGATTCATTGGGGTCATCTATCGACCTGGAACGGAGAGATGGAGTCATTATGTGAAATCAAGCCTATCAAGGCAATTCGATGCGTTCGTCTGGTTTGACAGAACGAGCGCTGTCCAGGCTTTCGAGGTCCATCAGCCACAAGAAGCTGTTGAGAGGGGAGAAACATTTCCTTTTGGCTTGTAAGGACCGTCATTTGATATCGCTAACACTACATTGCAGCCTTGCAGGTGTCGCGAAATGGACTGGTTGTCCTCGCGTCACAAAACATGATTTCACGATAGCACGAAGGTTATAACAGGCTTCAGACTGTATCGTTATTTTCCGTGAGCATAACATGGAGCCAGACTGTAAATCAATCAAACAATGGATACTTCGCGTTATCTGCCAATCTTCACGTCTGAATGTGGGCTTGATTGGCTGATCGCGGACTTGTAGGATGAGTACTGTCGATATTCTATGTGATGTTATGTTCCCAAAGTTCAAGGCGTACAAGTTATAGTGTTCGGTGTTTATGAGCCCTAGCTAACAGGTCACAGAGGCTGTGTCTACATTGTTTTTCAGGGTAATAGGTTGCAGGTAGTTGACTTGCGCCAGATAGTTAACTTCATCTGCACAGGAATCGCAGCGGGGTGTTCAGGCGGGTGTAAAATGAAGCAGTAGGAAGCAGAAAACACTCTCTGCATAAAATCGGCGGGAGGTAGTACTGCGAACATCTTTAAGCCTGTCACTTGTAGACTTTAGCACCAATAGGTTTCTCCTATGGCAATGAAAATCAGTTCTCCTTTGGCTCGAAGTACCAGCTATATCAGCCCATTCCCAAGCTCATCCCTTCGGCCCTCTCAGCCACTCCACACTGCCGGCCCAGGCGGCTGGTACGTATCAGGAGCGCTCAGATACTTATTCAAATCGACCAGAATCCCCGGATCGCTGCTCTTATACGCACCCGGCAGACTGACCAAGGGACCAGGAGTTCCATTACCGCCACCAGTGATCTTGACCTGGCTGCACGAGAGGTAGAATTGCGCCTTGTTGGCTTGCATGGCCATGTGCAGGGCAATGTGCTCAACCCGGAGGAGGTACTCGCCGTCGGGAGTGGCCTTGGGGATGGTGGCGTTGACGGTCTTGTATTCATCTGGGGCAAGTTAGGAGAGTGAGGTTCGTGCAATATCCCCGGTAAGAGAGGAATACGTACTCTGCCCTGGCCAGGTCATCTGCTTATTCTTGTCCACAGCTGGTTTTGTGGTGTGGATTTTGAACCACACGGCTCCACTGCCGTCCCATGTCTTTGCACTCTGGCCTGCGGGAACTTTGGCGAGGTAGTACTGCGTAGGCCCCGGGTGATTAACCTGCTGTGTCGAGATGTAATGGATGGTCGCGCCTGCTGGGACCTCGGCGATATTGGCGGCGTTGGACGATGAGTAGCAGCGGATATCCCCTACAGTGGGGTTCTCAATGCCTTGCTTTGTGTTGTCATTCTTGGTCCGTCTGGTTACGGACCAGTCCTTCTCCTCGGCTTTGCCGTTGACAACGAGGCGGGGAAAGGTGTCTGGTAGCAGTCAGCCAATTGTCCGCAAGCACCTTTCCTGATTTACGTGCAGTGAGCTTGCGCTGTTGCTGCTGCGAGCAGCAGGCCCGTGAGAAGCTTCATGTTGCAGTGATGACAATACCAGTTGCTGGATGCTTGATGCATCACAGGGGAGATATCGCGATTCTTATAATTACTGCCAGCGTTACATCCCATCCAAGTTGCCAGATAGATATTGGTTGACGGCTGGAGGGCTATTCAATATAGTGCTCGCCTGCCTATTGGCGGAGAGGAAAGCATTCCCAGAATTTCCTGCTATGGCCTTGCTACGGTGGACTAGTCATTCGAGCCATGTATGGATGATGATGCGGCATGATTTATGCTAATTGTGGACTGCGCTTGGCCGGTAGTGCGTTGATTAAAACGTGCGCCGGGATACATTGCCGAGAGTGTGGGGAAACATACTTATAGAATCCAGTGACCGCTTCGTTAGATTGCAACTCCAATGCAATGGCTTGGACATGGCTCCTCTCCGTATGATGCATCCAAGAGAGTCCGTGTCCTTCCAGTGACTGTCGATGATTTGCAGGCAACTGCGAAGGTCAATAGCGTAGTGCGGATAGGACTATTTCCCTTAAGGAGAGCTATGCTATAGATCCAGGCTGTAATCGAGACAACCCATCATCAGGACTGCAACAAAGCTAACCTATGCGCCCATATCTGCCTGACTTTGAACGAATCGTTTGGGCGGCCAGGTCCTTCTTTCACAACCGGTTCCTGGAGTAACATAAGCTATCGCTGGGTGTAGATCGCGCATCGGGGCTCTTTGGATGCTGGTGTGCACACATGATCGAATGCGCATATTGAATCAAAGGACGGCATAACATGCAGGGTAGCAAGGATGGGGTTTGAATGGGGTATATGAATAAGAAAAGCGGAACGGAATGACGTCTCCCATTTCTACTACACCACATCCCAACTCGCACTTTGTGCTTCAGGAGCGTGCGAGGGTACTATTGCCGCGGTAGCCGGAATAACATAGACATTCACTATTAGGATTATCGCAGAAACAACACCAGAACAAGAAAAGGGTATCATATACGAGAGGTGATTGTGGGAAGGACGCCAGCGACCCTGGAGAGTAAGGAAGAAATTGCGGACCAATCGCACGCCTCGAGACTGGACGAATCCTCAGCCTCACCGGGGCGTAATCTGCTATTTGAGCACTTGACAGCAAGTCGCGAGGTGTAAGACCAACAGCATCCCATGGAAATAACATGAGCCGTCAACGTCTTGACCGCCGACGGGTCGTGCTTGGTTCCCCATAGCCACCAGAGGTTTGGGAACTGCTCACACAATCCCAGTTGAACGGGATGGTAGATGTCGGAATAGCAAAGCCGTGGTACTGTTGCACGCGTTCCCTCCTCGGCGGCGGAGACGGATGCGCAAAAGCTTCACGCCGCAGATCTTCAAGAGCCTGATTTGTTGCGGCAAGAACGGCGAACCGGCGATCAGGCGTTCGGTGGGCGGCCATGTTCGGCGTGCGCGACCGAGCTGAGCGTCTGCTAGAAGGCTGTCGTTCGTGCTGACCTGATGTACGATGGTGGCGATTGTGGGATTGAGAAGGCTGGGGAGCATCGGTATGGTTGGTGGGTGGAGGATACGCTCTGGAGGCACGATGCCTTGGTGGTGCAGAGTCCACTGTTTGATAATGGCGAGCGCCACGTGACCCTGCCTTGGGCGGGGGTGATGCGAATAAGGACCATGCTTGAGCGGAGGTGTCCTGGCGCATGTCCCTTTTGGAGTTTGAATGTCGGGGTGGATCCCGTTTTGCGCCGCGACCTCTCAGCGTGCCTTGCGAAGTGTGCTTCGGGTGGCGCTGCCTCTCATGGGGGCTTCGGTGCGGTCGAGGGTTTAGTAGAGTCTCTTGGGACGAGTGACTACTTCCGGGATGCACAGTTCGATGCCACATGTTGGGCACTTGTACGTTCAAAGCCGGTCGGTTCTGTACTCTGGCTCTGTGGGTGTTGCGCTGCTGGGGTTCGCGCCGCGCGCGGCGCTCGACATATTCCCGTCGCGATGGGGTAGGCGTCACAGACTCCTTTGATCTTTTCGACCTGGTTGTCTCTCTTGATCTACGCTTCTCGTGGTATTCGGCGGCGACCGGCACGCCATCTCCACGGAGGGGATTCGAGGGTGGCCTCCTCGGCTTTTTCTCAGTCGACGAGGTGGACTTTGGCTTCTGCTTGTTTGAAAGGCCAAAAGGAAAACACCAGCACATAGCGAGTCGCGAGCAGGTCTCGGATCGCTATGCGCCGGGGGAGCTCTCAACCGGCGGAGTCAGAAGGCGATGGACTGCCTGATGGCATACAAGGAAGGAGAATCGGCGGTACCAGGATCCCCGTCGTGCGACAGATGCAAGGCAATACTTATTGAGGTTGCACAGACGATGGATAGATGGCAGACTAGACTGGGACAAAAAATGGGACTTGTTTCAGACGAGGGGAGACGAGCAAAAGCGTGATGAATACAGGAAGAGAGACAGACGGAACGAGAGGGGCCATGGCCGACATGTAGCTTCCAATGAAGCTTGGAAGCACCTGTGACTGCATGGCTCGAGGCTAAGACAAGATGGGAATCCTACAATAATGGGTGAGTGTGCCTGGAAACCAAAGAGTGAATGAATTATGGGGTGGGGGGAAGCTCGAGAGTCCAATCAAGCGGCGGCATGCCTGATGGATGTGCTGGAACGCAGCTGATTCGTAGTGCTGGCGAGAGAGGTGGCTGACGGGGGCCATGTGATGAATGGGTTTCTGCTGCTCTCCCCCCAGCTGATGGCACTTGAGAAACATAAAACATGGAGGAGAGGAGAGGAGGGTGAAATGAGGGATGCCGTGGAAGGAGTAGCATGGTGGAGGGTCTCTTATAGTATAGGCAAAGAGACCGAACTGTCGCCACTTTTGTTCCTGCGCTGGTGCTGTCAGTCTACTGCTACGTGGCACCTCATCTGCGCAGAGGACTGACGGGCCGGGGCGGGAAAGATGCCAGGGCACTCGTGTCGATGATGCTGCTTCGGGGGAAGTGTGATGGCTGAGGGTTCCAAGGTTGGCTGCAGCTGGATACAAGGGGTGAATGTTGGATGCAACCTCGGGAACGGGCCTCGCGGATGCACATGCACTGGCTGGGCAAAGTCGGATCACGTCGTTGGCGGGGGATGTCTTATCGTTATCGCGGTAACCCCACCGAACCCCGCCATCCCCTCCCCCGCTCTGTCTCTCGGTCTGGATGACATTGACATCTCTGATGGGAACCTTGGAAGGCACAATGTGGCCCACTCAATTACCCAAAAGTACACACTCGTCAACAATTTACACCCCCTTCCAACCTTAGTCTCTAATCGATAGCCTGCCTTCGCCATGCCACTCGTTGCGCAGAATCCCAAGGAGCGAGTCATCCTCGGCTTAATGACCTTTGGTATGCCCAAGAACCCAGCACTCCCACTCGCACATGGCGTCTAACCGTCCCTTCTCCTCCCTCAGGCCCTGACGCTTCCTTCGGAGCTCGCATCACCGACTTCAACGACTACACAAGATGCCTCGACTACTTCCAGTCCCAAGGCTACAACGAAGTCGACACCGCCCGCACCTACGTCGGCGGCAAGCAGGAAGCCTGGACCCGCAACGCCAAATGGCAAGATCGAGGACTAACCCTCGCCACCAAAGTATATCCCTACGAGCCCGGTATCCATAGGCCCGATCGTCTGAAGGAGCACGCCTGGACCAGCTTCAAGGAGCTGGGGACAGACGCCGTCGATATCTTCTATCTGCATGCCCCGGACCACTCGGTGCCGTTTGAGGAGACGCTCGAGGCCGTCAATGAGTTGCATAGGCAGGGCAAGTTTGTGCAGCTTGGCCTGAGTAATTTTGCGGCCTGGGAGGTGGCCGAGGTGTGGAACATCTGCAGGGAGAGGGGGTGGGTGAAGCCCACCATTTATCAGGCAATGTATAATGCCATCAGTGAGTCGTCGATCCCCGGCCGCTCTGTCACACATTCATCATGGAGGTACGTGCTGACGGAACATGGCAGCGCGCTCCATTGAGGCGGAGCTGATTCCCTGCTGCCGAAAATACAACATCGACATTGTTGTCTACAACCCCCTCGCCGGCGGCATCTTCTCAGGCAAGATCAAATCCAAGGACATGGTCCCGGACGAAGGCCGCTTCTCCAACAAGGCCGAGAGCGTAGGGGCCATGTATCGAGAGCGATACTTCAAGGATTCGACGTTCGAGGCGCTCCGACTGATCGAACCTGTGGCCGAGAAGCATGCTCTGAGCCTCGTCGAAATCGCACTGCGATGGTGCATTCACCATTCTGCTCTCAAGACAAGGGCAAAGGGAGGCAACGACGGCGTCATCATTGGCGCGTCGAGTTTCGAGCAGCTGGAGAGTAATCTGAAGGATCTGGAGAAGGGACCTCTGCCAGACGAGGTGGTCAAGGTCCTGGACGAGGCTTGGCTCCTTGCGAAGCCTACCACGCCAAACTATTTCCGTTGATAGTCGATCGAAGACGCTGGGTGGCCTGCTTGGCTCAAGAAGCGAGATCGAAGTGCATGGCCTGCGTATGCGCGGCCCAGGAAGAGGTATATCCAGTTCGAGCTTGCCAATATTCCAGAAGAAGGTCAAGCAGCCGCTTCCTCGACCTCCTTCGTAGCAATTTCCACGTGATCCCCCTTTCCCTCCGTCTCTTTGCGCTCCATACCGCCGTCTTGCTTCTTGGGACCCCTTCTTACCATGTTATGCTCCCCCACGGGCACGAAGCCATGGTGAAGATAGACGGGCCTCCCCATTGCCGAGGCCTCGAGGTACAGGGGCGTGACGGGGTCGGTGGCATCGGCTTGGTCCATTGCCCATTTGAGCAGAAGGCTTCCTATCCCCCTCCCTTGGAACTCGGGGAGGGTGAGCAGCGGTGCCAGGTACCAATGCGGCTCGTCGCCCATGACCTGCCGCCTGATCTCATCGTCGGCGCGGCACCTGCCGTCCCAGTAGTCGACGTCGACGCCTGCCCACATGTCGTCGACGTCTTGCTGGCTCCAGTTGTGCTTGTCGGCCCAGTGGAAGAAGTCGGTGGCCGAGCGGCGCCAGACATTGTGGATGGGGTGACCGGGAGCCATCCAGCCGGCCAGTCCAGCGATCCTGCTAGTCGGCACGTGGGTCGCCTTCACCCAGTACATGTTGGGGTGGGAGAGCGAGGGGCGAAGGCGCGTGGCGAGGCGGGTTTGGCGGGTCGATTGAAGGGGCGGACGGAGCGCTGGAGGCTCCCTCTGGGCCCACCACTCCTCGGGGAAGGCGGCGTAGAGAGCTGCTGCCTGTAGGGTAAAGTTACTGTGTATTCTAGGTGCGTGGCAGAGCAGGGCGGAGCAGAAACAAAGGTGATGATGATGATGTATTGGGCAAGCCGGACATACAATCTCCTCGGCATCGCTCTCAACGCAGAGCTCGACGCGGACTTCGGAAGGGTCCAACCTGGGACGTCTCTCGTGGGTTGCCGACATGGTCGAATGATTCTACTCGAGGCTGGAACGATTGCTACGAGTTGGGGACTTGGTCGGTCTTATATTTCCTCGCTCTCTCTCCACTACTGAGACAGCTAGGGTAGGCTGCAAGCCCCGCTTGGAGATGGAGATGCAGCCTATAACCGGATGAGTCATCCACTATATAAGCAGACATCCATGGATGACTGTGTGCTGTAAAACTACTGTAGATGGTACAACCAGAGGGAGACGTAACCAGAGGGGAGACGTCAATCATCACCGGGGGGAGGTGGGGGTAGGAGGGGAGAGGAGGGGGGAAGAAAAGCGGGAGACGACGGTTGGATGCCCAGGAGGTGGAGCCCGCCCGCCAGGGGGCATAGCCTTTATCACGTGTTTTGGAGGACCACCACCAGTTGACCTGACCCTGCAGGCTCCCCGCGATAGACCTATGAAACCGGTTATGGACAGATGAATGAATATTGAAGCCCTCCCTTCCACTTCAAGTCCCTTAGAATAATGTTGGTATCATGGCGTCACGTGCTTCAATCCTACAACCTCCAGCTTCCCAAGGTTGGAAAGCGAATCAGAAGAATCCCCCCCTCCCCACTACTTCTCGTTATTCTTCTCGTCCAGGCAGATGCACATGGCAGCGACGAGGGCCATGTCGACGCCCGGGGCCACCGTCACGCCATACGTTTGCTGCCCGAAGAAGATGTCCTTGCCGCTAAGAATCTTGCGGTCGATGCGCGCCACCACAATTCCTCCCTGCGTGGTATCGACGATATCGGCCTGCGTGTCGAAGAAGTTGCCCTTCATCAAGAGTTCCTCTTGCTTGCCGTTGCTGGATACGAACGTCGCGATGGCCTTGCTACCAAGGACTGCCGTTTGTCAGCTTCGTGCCTCGCGACCCTAGCGTCATCAGGGGAGAAGGGCGTACGCGCAAACTTGCTCTTCACCTCCATGATCTTCCGGCCCGAAGGGTCCTTGATGGCAAACGTCGTGTGGATATGAAGATGCTCCTTGCATATGTCAAACTGCATTTCTATTTGTCAGGACCACCAGCACTTGGAACATTCATTGAAGCCCTCGAGGTGCACTCGCATACCATGTGATTCCCGGCCATATCCGTCACCTTCTTGCGCCCGGAGATGGACAGCACGCTGCCCTGGACCTGGAAGAGGGGCGTTCCATTGGCGAGCTTGATGCTGAAGCTGTCGCCGCTGAGGGACAGCACCTTTTCCTTCAGGACAATGGTCTCGGTTTGCCGCGCAATGAACGATTGGAAGACGCCAATGGGCTGAGGCACAGGCGCGAGAGCCATGATGGACCAACAAGGAGATGGGCGTGGAGAGTGTACACGGCAGGCAGGTATCGGAGATGTATCCTGTGCAAGTATTGTTGGGAGCCAGCCCCCTTAAAAGCTTTTGGCGAGGTGTTGAGGCACTTGGACACTGAGCTGAAAACGTCCCCAGGCTGTTCACTGCCTGTCAGACGAGACTTTGGGGCCAGTCGTTTTGAGGCTGCCACGACACAGCCTTCCAGCCCTACCGCCCTACTAATCGGGCCCCGACGGGTCGCTTATATAATCGAATTTTCCTGCGGAAAATGCCCCCTGCGCAGCAGGGGGCCTACAGGCTCAACGATAATTATAAGCTCAACAATACTATATAACAAAACCTATAGATTCCTGTTTGCTTCGTAATTCAATCGCAGTCAATCTCAGGGTTGCGCACCAGATCTCCTTCCTCATTCAGAATCCACGCATATAGCTCAGGTGGAGGAGGACTGCTGCCCATCTCCTTCATCCGCTGCTCCTCCATAAGTTGGCGCTGCCTCTTCTCCCAGTGATTATCTGACTGCCAGCGAGATACATCCTGTTGAATTGGAAGGCCTCCTGCTTCCAGGCGTAGTAGCCGTTTTTCAGCTGCCTTGCGTAGTTTTGGGAGTAGTCTCTTAAGGCAATTCATCTGCTTCCGAGTCTGACGCTCCTGCTTCTCACGGAGCAGGTGCAGGGCAAGTTCAAGCTCC